AATAATCAATAGTGTCCCCGTACAACAGTAAGAAACTGTCTGAGAGAGATATTTGGGAAACCACAACTTTCACAACAGCCTAGAAAATGAAATACTTAGGAATCAATCTAACAAAGGAAGTTAAAGATCTCTGCAATGAAAAGATACAGTACTCTGAAAAAGGAGATTGAAGAGGATATCAGAAAATAGAAAGACATCCCTTGTTCTTAGGTAGGAAGAACCAACATAGTGAAAATGGCCATACTCCCAAAATTGTTATACAAATTTAATGCCATCCCAATCAAAATACCCATAATATATCTCACAGAACTTGAGAAAATATTCCTAAATTTCATTTGGAACCAGGAGAGACCTATTTAACTCTTTTGCAAAAGCAGTTCTGGGCAAAAACGCATGGCAGAAGGGATCACAATCCCAAAATCTCTTGTGGACATTTACTTTCTTTCTTTCTACTTCTTACATTAATGTTAGAAAATCCTTGGAGATTGGGATGTCACAGACCAATCAGGCTAATTAAAAGTTCTGTGCATTGGGCCGCCAAGGTCATACACTACTCAATAATCACCTTGTGTCTCCACACCTTCACCTTGGTGACTCCAGTCCACCAACCTCCACACTCGTGTCCCAGCCCCATGGTTGTCTGCATCAGGAAGCTCCTAACTAACTTTGTATTAATTTCAATCCTGAGGACAGAGACTGAGGATTCTTTGGGCTGCAGGCAAAGGAGTGTCTTTGGGTCTGCTGTCCTTGACTATGACCCAGCAGAGAAACAGCACCACCCAGTAAGTGCAGATGGGCCTGATGGATATGGAAGGATCCTTCCTTGAAAGTATTGTTTCTTCACCATGAAAACAAATGGACAGTTTGAGTGCCCAGTGAGAAGGTACAAGTATGAAAAATATCAGTTACAAGGAATGGAAATTTTGTATTTTCAGTTTTAGGAGGGAAGGCAGAATTATTATTTCAAATGTGTTTTCTACACATCCTGTTTCTCCTTCTCAAGGATGTCTCACCCAACAGCAGGAGAAAATGTGTCTTTTTTGGTGATTCCTAAGCACTCCAAAAGGATTAGGAAAGTGATTATAAGAATGTAGGAAGTGAAGATAGTAACCATGACATCATGAACTTGTTTGGGGGGCTTCCTATATCTTATACACTGAGCTATTTATTTTATGCAGCTTCTTTTATTTCCTGTAATTTGTATTCTAGAAGGTATATGTTTCCACATGTTATTGCTTTTAGAAAATAGCAGAGTCCATCATTTTAATGGATCTTACAGTAGGTCAATCAGTAGAGAGACGAGTCTAGTGAATCAGGCTGTCTGGTTAAAGACAAAGGGCATCATAGAGAAATTCTGGCAGGTTGTCCTCCTAACACAGAAAAATATTTAACTCTTTTGCCACCTCAGAAAGAGAACCCTTACTCATTTTCTATTACTTTTGGGGATTGAAAGCTCACAGAGCCCAGCAGTGAATGTCCCCAGCTGCATCCACCATAGACAGAAAGAGACGACAGGCAAAGATCTCCGAGAGCAGCCCCTCCACCATTCAGCACAGATTTCCCTCCTGACGCCACTGCTGGGTGTTTCTGCAGCTCCCACCCTTCCCATGATTGCTATTATCTCACACAGTCTCACATGGGGGTTGTCTTGCCTTAGGTTCTGTTCAAAATTATCTCAGATGCACCTGAGTTTATGAAATTTGTCTTTCTGTTTGCATCTTTCTGTGGGTTTTTTAAACAATGAAAACTTTTAGTGCATTGGACATGATCATCACAGTTATTTTACAATCCTTTTACCTCCACTTATTTTCACTGGGATACAGGGCAGGCTTGTGATATCTCTGAGACTGCATTGTTATTAGTGTTGTTCTGCACTTGAAGAAATTTCCTGAAGATCATACAGATAAAGAGTGCTCTATTTGGTCTATTTTGTGTATAAAATTAAAGCAAAGGAAAGTGTAGCCATCATTGTTATTAGTGATAGAAAATAATTTCTATGCCAACTATGTCCTTTGACCTGAAATTATTCTTCTTCTGTTTCTTTTGCAAGACATTTTATTTGTATATTTGTGTAAGTATATGAATATATTTGGAGATGAATGATGTGCTTTCATTTATATCTGATTCCCCAGAGCCTACACAATTTTTGGAACAGAAGATGAATCAAAAATCAAAACCTCTATTAAACATTGAAAGGACATTTCTCTAAGTTATAATAACTGCCCTTAATCAGCCTGATGTGAAGATGCTGGGTGTGCTATTGTCTACTTGTTCCTTCCTTTCACAAATGTCCTTAGATGTAGGGCAAGATAAAATAGCTTGTTTGTATCCATGTCATGAGCATATGGCCCCTACGATCCACTTAACTGCACCTATATCAACAATCAAAAAGACAGCAGAGATATCTATGGTTTAAAAATGGCATAAAGAGTAGCGAGCAGGTGAATGTGTGCCTCAGGCTGAGATACGGTGCAGCATTTTACATCACTCCATGCAGCATTACCATTTGAATACAGATTACAATATTCATCAGTACACTTCCTATTTGCTTAAGGTGTAGTTATGTGCATGTGTGTTGTGTGAGTGTGTAGTTTTTTGTTTGTTTTTATTTATGGTACCATGATTGATCTTGGGCCCTTGCACTTTTGAGGGAGGTGGTGGAACCAGTGAGCCAAATCCCCAGCCCTGTAGTTATTTATTTTTTTAAAAAAGTTCTCACAATGAGGTCATGATTTCCTAACTTCCTTCAGTTGCCACACATGTGAAGATGAATGCTACTTTTATTTTTCTCAAGCAGTGGAAGCACAGAGAGGAGGCAAGTTTCATACCCAGTCTGCCTGTTTGTGCAGGTCAATGATACGGGATTAAATATTCATTTCCTCAGCACCTTCCCTCTGCACAAACTCCACTGTGCCACTGGAGCAAGATGACAATGTTATTCCCCGTACGAATGCGTGTTAGCATGATGAGCTCATCACTGGACAGACTGCATGGATATTTTGAAGATATTGCTGAAGGAATGTAAGGAATGTAAGGGACTGATTTTTATTGGAAAAATAATTGTGAAATTTTACCAGTATTAGTTTTTGGAAATCAAAAATATATCCTCCACTAATATCTTAGATATAACTTTTTACTTCTGTGACAGGAAGAGAGGCACAACAATTTAGATAAGATTTTCATAATAATAAACTTACAGGTTAAATGAGGAGTCTCTCTTTCAGATAATGCTGTGTATTAGTTAAAGGAGACTTAAAATCACTCGTGCTTTTAACGTAATCTATTGTGGGGACAAAGGTGTTTTCTTATACATTACTTACATTAATTTTGGGTACTTTTAGAGTAAGTTTTTAAGAAAGCTGCTTGTGAATTCATGAATCGACATTGACCTGGAAATAATGACAGAAAAATCTTCCCATAAAATTCACCACACAGATTCTTTTGAAGACAAGAAAGAAGAACTATGAACTCATGGAGAGACCCTAAGTATTCAACTTTCTTAGGTAATTGTTCAGACCTCTAAAGTTATTAATGCTGATGTAAATATTATTAAATATTTACATGTTCATATCTATAAAGATAATATAAACTGGGCCTTTTTTAAATTCCAGAAGGTATTCTAAAGCAGTGGTTTTCAACTCTTGCTTAAGAAAGCAACACAAAATCTTGAAATATAAATATTACAATTAAATTTAAGGGCAAAAGTCTAGAGTATCTGTGCATTTCTAGAAAGCCCCAGATAAATATATTACTAACTTAGAATCATCAGTGATGCAAATTCAATGACTTTTAAAAGATTTTCTTACAGCAGCCATAAAAGGTAGGTATTTCTGCTCCCCGTTTTACAGATGAGGCATGGTTACATTATCCACAGTTGTGTTTACAAAACTTAATGTAGCTTTTTCTATTGCCTCTGAGTTGTGATGTGTGTTTACATTATTTCATGTAGTATCTGTTTAATGTGTTATTTCTAATAAAATCACAGTGTGATCTGACCAAAAATGTGTCCCAGTTTCCTTCACATAGATGAAATATGAGAAATACAATTTATGGATGAAGAAAGATTGATTAAAATATCCATAGGTTAGAACTAGGAAAGGCTAGACACTGCCATGGCCTGGGACTTTGTTTCCAGCATCTTCACTTGCATACAATTGGGTGTATGGTCAAAGTAAAGAACGTTTCCAAGGTACTGTAGAATATAGCATCAATAGAGAGATGTTTAGATAGAAGATATGGTAGTTTTATTATATAATAAATTTGTATTATATAATACAATTTATTATATAATAAATTTATATTATGTAATAAATTTGTATTAAATTTGAAATGTAAAAAAATGCTTATTATTTTTATTTTAATTATTATCAGGTGTGGTGTTAACTAATGCTACCTTTGCAAATATGCCCTAAGATTTTGTGCATGTACTCAAGTTCATCAAATACATTATATACAAATAAAGGCTGAGAGAGCTCCTTCACCCTTGAGAGAGGAAAATCAGAAAATCCAAAATGATAAAAAATTCTCTGAGGCACAGTGTGTTCTGATTATGACCGATTAACTTAAATTCAATTTTCATATAGTTCAGTATTTGATTTTATAGTATTTCTAGGCACACTAAGGCAAAGGAGTTTGTACCATTTTCTGAGAATAAAACAGTAAATAGTTGAATATTTACAATTTTTTCCAATAGAATCACATTTGCTTAAATGAGGATTTCTTAAACTATTCTCTGTTTTCCACAAAAAAGAATGTTGGTGGTATTTCACTAGGGTCAACGACTTCTGAACTTTATGTCCTTGTCTGCTTACACTGTGCAATAGAATATCTGTAAAGTAGGAGTGTACAGGGGAGATGGGAAACAAACCAGCCAACACTCAGCTTTGCTGCTGGAGTTTGCCACAGTACAGCAATGATGCTGAAGGTTTGGGGCCTCATGAAGAAAGAACTACTTTGCTTCTGAAAACTTGAATTCCTAAAATATACTCAGTTTTGTGTGCTATGTTTTATTTCATTTTTCCAATTTTTTTTTGAAAAGGTGGTCAAGCACTTTGGGAGCACATAATCTAACAAAAGTCTCAGAATTCCATCTCCTGGGCTTCTCAGAGGATCCAGACCTGCAGCCCGTCCTCTTTGGACTGTTCCTGTCCATGTACCTGGTCACGGTGCTCGGGAACCTGCTCATCATCCTGGCCGTCAGCTCTGACTCCCACCTCCACACCCCCATGTACTTCTTCCTCTCCAACCTGTCCTTGGCTGACATCGGTTTCACCTCCTCTACAGTCCCAAAGTTGATTGTGGACATCTTAAATCACATCAGAGTCATCTCCTATGTGGGCTGCCTGACACAGATGTCTGTTTTCATCCTATTTGCATGTATGGACAACATGCTTCTGACAGTAATGGCCTATGACCGCTTTGTGGCCATCTGTCACCCCCTGCATTACTCAACCATTATGAACCCTCGCCTCTGTGTCTTGTTACTTTTGCTGTCAGTTTTTGTTAGCCTTTTGGATTCCCAGGTACACAACTTGATTGCTCTGCATTTTACCTGTTTCAAAGATGTGAAAATTGCTAGTTTCTTTTGTGACCCTTCTCAACTCCTTAACCTTTCATGTTCTGATACTATAATCAAAACCGTAGTCCTGTATATTTTTGGTACCATATTTGGCTTTGTTCCCATGTCGGGGACTATTTTCTCTTACTATAAGATTATATCCTCTCTTATGAAAATCCCCTCATTGGGTGGGAGGTACAAAGCCTTTTCTACCTGTGGTTCTCACCTGTCAGTTGTTTGCTTATTTTATGGAACAAGCTTTGGAACGTATCTTGGTTCAACTGTGTCGTATTCTCCCAGCATGGGTGAGGTGGCCTCCCTGATGTATACTGTGGTCACCCCGATGCTGAATCCCTTCATCTACAGCCTGAGGAACAGGGACATTCTAAGCTCCCTAAAGAGGTTCTACAGGTGGGCAGTCTAATCCCAGGACCTGTAGTATCTATTTGGAATGTAGTTTGGAAAATGTGGTAAAGAAGAGGACTCAAACCTCTATATTTCAGAAATGTGATGTGTACAATTTATCATAACAACAGAATTAGGACTGGTTGGGAAATGTTGGGATTAAGTTCTTCCTATATGTAAAATTCATTTTGGATGGTAAAATTTTTAGAGATGGATGAGAATGATGGCTAAGCAAAAACAAAATTGCAGTTAATGTTACTAAGCTGTGCACCTAAAAAATGGTTAAAATGGTACACTTATTTACATATATCTTACAACATTAAATATAAATAAAGCTAGAGAATACTGATAATGCACAATTTTTGTTAACTTTGCATCCTGTAGCTGCAATAATCTCAAAATTATAATTTTTATTTATTTTTTTAAATTTTAAAATGGTTTGTTAAATTTATTTCTTTCTTGCACCATAACATGAGGGAGGTGTTAAAACTGGTAGAATAGCTCAATAGAATGTGATTTCCAGATTTTGGGAAGCATGAAGAGGGAAATTTTTAGAACCCTTCGCCAGAATCCCCTCACAGTGGATTAAGGATGTGCTTTGTGGATGTGTAGTCGATGACACCAGCTGAAAGGATTTTTCTTTGTGAACCAAATCCCATTGAGTTATCTGGTCCCCTTGGCTGATGAAGAACCATTAGGCAAGGAGCACCGGCATCCTCTACAGGGATGTTTTCCAAGAGATTGACCAACCGATCAGGTCGAGGGGTGCAACAGCCCTGGGGCCCTCAGACTCACCAAACCTTACAGGCCCTGCACTTGCCAGTGCACTGGGTAAGAATCCCTGAGAACTCCACCTCCTCTCCTGCCTGTAGCTCAATGCCATCCTGAAATTCTTTCATGTGGAAAAAGAGCCTCTTGCTATCTCCTGCAATTTTTAAATTATGACTTTCCTTGTCTTCCTTCGACCCGTCTTAATTTCTTCTATCTTATTTTACCCTTGCCAAGTCTTTGACCTTTCCTTCCTAAGTGATGTGGAGAGGCTGAAGTTACATCTTATGGCTGCTTCAGGCTGACTAGGGTGGGGGCACTGCCTTTGCGAAGTTAGGGAACAGAAGTTTCACTCTGGCTGCTCTAGAGAAAAGTGTGTTTTCTCATTTGATGAATCATCATCTTTTAATACCCTAGCAAAGAAGCACATTAGACAGTCAATGAGTTTTCGATCTCACTTTGTAACCCAGTTAAGTCAGCAAATATCCAGAACTAAAAGTAGAATATGGGTAAACTGTGCTTCAAATACGTTGTAGAATTCAGGCAAAAATCGGGTAGCATTTTACTTCTACATGATTTGAGATATTTATACAAGCACAACAGATGGAGTCGTAGTACACATACTTTCCGAGAGGATCCTAGGAACAGCTCGGGAACCTCTGGTAGGCCCTCCCATTTGACCCAGCTGGCCAGAGGAGCCCAGCCATGTGGGTGCCAATACAGCAGTGTTCATGCACCCCCTCAAGAGAAGGAGGGCCTCTCTGAGGCTCCCTGATGAAAACTGAAGCCCACTGTAAAAGTGAAGAAAATCTGGGACAAAGGCACACCACACCGCCATAGTTGGTTAAGCTAGAGGGACCAGCACCTCACATCGGAACCTGGTCTAACTTCAGGGGAAAGACAGCTGGTACCTGCTGTACAAACTTGCAGAGTTCAACCCAGAAAGACTGGTCAGAGATCTCACCTTGGGCCTTGCAGCCAAAAACCAGCCTGAACCTCAGGGGACAGCTGCTGGCCTCTTGAGACTAATTAACTTAGATCTGGACACTCCTGCCCACACTGTCTGTTGTGTCAACAGAGGCATAACCTGAAGGAGTCCCTCTATTTCTATTTGTATTTTTTATTTTCAAAGTAATATTTTTGCTTTTCTCTAATCATTTAAAAAAATTCTTTTTCTTTTCTCAATTTTTCCTTTTTTAATCTTCTTTTCTCTCTCTCTTGCTCTCTCTCCCACCTTGATCTTCATTACTCTCCTTTTTTATTCCTGCTCCTATTCTAATTTGAATTTATTTTCTTTTTCTTTCCCTTCCTCCTCTTTTTCTTGCTCTCAATTGCCATTAGTTTTAAAAGAAAGTGACCACAGTCTCTAGCCTCCCTATTGCTGTTAGTTTGTTCTGTTCTTGGGTATATTTTCTTCCATCTTTTCCTCTTGTGTGTGTGATTTTCCTGCATCCTCTGACCTCACTTCTAACCTTTCTCTATCCTGTCTATCGATCCCTCCCTCCCCAACTCCTTCTAAATCCCCATCCCAAAGGGCAAAGTTGCTATATTGAAGAGTTTATTCACTATAAACATATTCTGGGGTGGTCCTCGATTTTGATTTAATTCACACAGTTAAAGGTGATAGATTAATAACTACCACAAATTGTCATTTTCTAAGCTGTGCTTGTTGCTGTTGTGTTGCTGATTGTGTCACTTGGGCTACGGTGTTGTGATTGATCTACTCAGTTGTCCTCCCTGGTATAATGAAAATGAGAGTGCCTCAGAGTCATAGTGATTCAAAACCTGACAGCAAGGAAGATCAGGAAGATCAAAGTACTAACCCAGGAATTAAATCAAGGACAGGACCAATGACAAAAATAGAAATGAGAAGGCATTTAAACAAGATGCACACACAGACTTCTACCTCACCAAAAGTAAACTCTGGAAATAAGGTGGAAAAAATCTGACAGCCAACCATCTGGACACCCTGAACCAATAGCTCAGGAAGTAACAAAACTGATAAATGAGGCTCTAGAAAAATTCAAAAGAGAAATAATTTCCCAGATAACCACAGCAATGGTGAGAAGAATGAAAGACATGATTAGAGACTCTAGAACAGAAACAGATTTTTAAAAAATAGATTAGCTCAGGACCATGATGGAAACCATGAATGTCTAGCATAGGAAAGAAAGAAATGGACTCCATGAAACAGATTCAAACAGATATCCAGGAGATTAAAAACTGTACATATACTTCACCCTGTATATTTAATAAGAGACACAATTTCCCCTTATTTTCATGGCAAAATACAGCAAAATACATATATGTATTTTCTATGTGAGCACTGGACCAGCAAAAATTTTACTATCAGTCTCAGAAGGTGAGATCTGTCCTCTATTTTTTATCCCTGAGGATATTTTCTAGTGGTTGTCCTCTGATAATATAAACATAGTCTGGAGTAGATATCAGAAAGTTTATACCACAAAAGTAATAAAGCTTAAGAGGTTATTTATATTTATATTGTAATTTTCAATTTCTTGGCAGGACTATACAATATGCCAAAAATTCACCTGAGAGTTAATCTAAAGCTACATAAAAATAATACAGTAACAATTCACTTAGAGAGGTAGAATGGCATGTTTTGGGGAGAGATAGAGGGTCTGGGAATCACAACTTCTTGTGATTGTAGCTTAAGGTGTTATAAATTCAGCAGGAGACTGCCAGTAGTGGCTGGTACAGTGTTTACAGCTCCTTTTTACATATAGCCTAGATTTATCTCATTTTATAATGTCATCATTTCACATTTTCAGTTATACTTTGCTATTGGGTGTTTACATGAACTCAAAGTAAGACACTATCAAACAAAATTAATGTATTTCCGCATACCTGGGAAGGAAGGTCAGATAAGGATCTTGAGGGGTTACTTTTGGGGCCATGTACAGTGTCTTAGATCCTCTAGCTTTTTGCTCTACCAGATGTGTCATCTGCCAGGATGAGTCATAGTCCTTCTTGATCATATGGGTTTCCTAAAGAGCATGGTAAAAATTCCCTGTCTAGTGACTCTCTTTTTGGCAAAAGTGCACACGTTACTCATGTTCTCTGTAATCCAACAGTCCATTTTGTTGGGTTGTCAGTGACTCACCAGAGTTGCAGATTTATTCTAAGTGATGTTGTCAGTCTTGGGGGTTGATTGTCCATCTGGAGCAAGGGCCAAAGCATTGGCTCTCCTAGCAGCCTCTTTCATAAGTTTGGCCTCTATGCCTGCCTTTTTCAACACCCTAAAGGTCAGTTCCATCAGCCTTGAATGGAAGAAGTATGTCTTATTCCTATTATACTAGTTTCAGGATATTGGACTCTTAGAAAGATGTAGTATCACCAGAGAATGGGTACTTTTCCATTACTCATGGTCAGGATTGGGAGTATTAGTATGAGGAGTCAGTGTCACATTCTATCTCATCCGTAGGTTATAGCACATCGTCTGAACCTGCAGTATAGGTTGTCTTTTACACGTCATGTTCTTGTAGAAAGTTAACAGGTAACATTTACAAAGGTTTTTGAGGAGCACCAAGGATAAAGTTAACAAGAGGAAATGTAGCATTTTCGGGTAACTTCATGCTGACATTATTACATTAGGGCCATTAGATTCTCTATAGGGGTGGGGATGCTGCAGAGGCACCTGCGCAGCTGGGCGGTCCTTTCCAATCTGTTCCAATGAAGGCCTGGGGCACTGGCAAGCCACACCCCCATGCAGCTGCAAATGTGTGGCTTTTTTATAAAATGGAGTACTACTCAGCCATAAAGAAGGAGGAGCTAGGGACATGTATAGCTTAATGGATGCACATTAAGGCGATATGCTTAAGTAAAATAAATAGGATGCACATGTGTAAACCGAATAGTTTCTCTAGTTTGAGAAATGGAAAGTGTAAATAAGAACTAAAAGGTATAATAGATTATGGGAGGTAGGAAGAGAAGCAGCAAAGGGGAAGGGGAAGTGGGAGGGGTTGGGGAAAGAAAGATGGGAATGGAATTAATATGAGAAAAAGAAAAAATGGAAAGAAAGTTTTTATAGATAGGGAGGGGTGGAGGGGTTGAAGGGAGGGCAGGGAAATGTGGAAAAAATAAGAACCCAGATGGACTATGTAAAGGTGCAAATTTCCAATGATGAATGTCATTACATTGTATATACTAAATGTACCAATATAATTTACTAGTTTTTAAAAACCTAACAATTTTAATACACATGCTTGCAGTACATAATTGTGACATTCTATGTGGGGAGTAGGTACATGTAAATAACACACTTTAATTATTTTTTCGTACCCTTTACCTCCTCTCCCCCCACACACCTCCATCTCTGTATCCCCTTTCCCTTTGGAAAAGATCTATCTCCCTATTTCCTCTTATCTAAGTTTTATTTTGCTCTTTATTTATATTTTGTGGGGGTTTTTTTACATAAGAGAAATCCTGAAATATTTCAATTTGTGTGTCTGAGTTATTTTACTTAATAGTATGATCTCCAAGGTGCAGCCAGGAGTCCAAAAGTCTAAGTAAAACTATATCAAAACTAAGATGACACAAGAGAGAGTGCTCATGAAAAAGACAAAAGGTGTTAGATGGCCCAAAACTTGACATAGCCTTCACTATCAGTCACCTATCACCTGTACATGCAAAAATAATTTAAAAGACATCACATCCTTTTCAAGGATACTACCCAGGAGATGCCTCTACTGTAAGTTTGGATGTTTACAATAATTTTAGGGATTGCAGTAGTGATCAAATAGGTATCTGACAAAGACAAGTCTAAGAGGAAGAAGGAGATGTGGGTGTTGAAGTGGGAGTCAGAGCTGACGGCTAGGATAGCGAGGAGGTGTCCCCGAATATTGAATTTGTACAGGGACAGGAGCATTTAAAAGAGGATGGATCTTCCTCAAGCGGGTGACATGGAATTCTGAAACCTGTATTTTATTTTGTGCTTTGATATTTCTTGGACACCTTTTGAAGAAAAAAGAAAAAGTTTTTACTAACTTTCCAAAACAAACCACATCATTATGTAATGGTAACACACACCGATAAAACATAATAAATTGTACATAAATAAGAGAAGATTAGAAATAGGGAAACAAGCAAGCACCTGGCACTCTGTGTATATTTTGAATCCAAAAATTCACAAGTAAATTATGTACACTAAAGGACCATATATGTTTAACTATATTACAGTTGTATCAAGCCCAGTCTTCTTAGAAATCTTTCAGTATCGGCTTTTGAGTTATCGAGCTCTTTCTTTACACACCTGCAGTGGAGAAATTTCATCAAACGATTAAATGCTGAAGAACATTAGCAAGAACAAGTCCACAAACAGTAAATATAGCCCATTCTTGAAACACAAAAGACAATAAGAAATATCCTTCATTCTTTTAGAAGAAATTGCTTCTCATTGCAAGAAAATAGAAGCAGTGAAAGATCTCCCATTGCAAGAAATTTGAGCAGGTTCAGTCCATGAGCACTGAGTGCCTGAACCACAGGGCAAGGTTGAAGGGTTTGGGGATGAGAGGACGGGCAGCAACCACTGGAGGTAATACATGATCTGTCCTGGGCAAGGCCTTCACCAAACCTACGTCAGACCTAGTGCCCTCTTATTGCAAGAAAATGGCACAAATTTCTTTAACTTCAAATACTTTTGAAGATGCAATAGGAACCAGGACCACCTTCTATGTATAATCAATAATGCCGATGGTTTATAATAAAAATACTGTGATGTAGAGTTATCTCCAGGAGTTTCTCAACATTTGGGGGTTTTATGATTTCTTTCTTTTGTAGGTATAATTGGTCGCCCAAATATTTCTCTAGCTTTCAAAATGCGTCGATGTCATAACTGCTGGTTTAGATCTAAGCTGTCCTTCCAGAAGGTGTGACTGGATCACTGTGGCTTTATTGCAACTTTCTGTCAGGAGGTGGGACCTGCTGGAGGTTGGTCACTGGGGTGTTACCTGCAAGGGTGTGTTATTGTCCCTGGTTCCTCCATTGTGGCTCTACTTCCTGACCACCATAGGTTGAGCACTTTTATATCCGCCAGGCCCTTCTGCCATCCTTTTTCTGCCTTGGAGCCAGACAGCCAAGGACTGAAACTGCACCAAAACGAATCTTTCCTCCTTTAAGTTGTGGATGACATAGGTCAGGAAACATTGGAATTTCAAATCCCACAGCCCTGTATCGCTTTTGGCAGGGGATGGTCTATCCTTATAATGTGACCAGTGCTTTTACTGTAGAGCCCTGTACTCACGGGTGGACTTGTGGTTGTCTGTGTTCTGTCCCAATCTGGGTCCCAGAGGGAAGGATGGTCAGCCTCTTGCCTCTTCACTGTGAGGAGTCTACACCCATCCTGCTCAACAAGCCTGGCTTGCCCTTGGCAGATGAAATGCCAGTCTCATTGTCACCTCTGTGACCCCTCCTCGTTGAAATCTCCCTCTTTCCCAGAAAGCGACTGACTCCTCCGTCCCTCTCCTGGTTTCCTTGTAGTCCTCTTCTACTCCTTTCGATTTGGGGGGGAGCGCCTGTCCACGACGGGGCTCATTTTCGCACTTATCTCGAAGTTGGAGAGATGGCTGACATCTGCCCAAGAGCCTTGCTTTTTTATCCTTCTTCCTGCTCGGCGGGTTAGGTACATTGTCCACAAGCTTCCAGCATTTTCTCCACTTCATTTTGAAAAGAACCATCGGATAGATGTTGCCCTTTCACCTGGGTGTCTGGGCTCACGCTTTCCAGCCCAGGCTTGCTTCCTTTCCGCTTCCTCATGTTTTTCTCAGCCAATCAGAGAGGGGGACTTCCTTGTGTTCGGCAGGACGGAGGTGTAATGTATTCATGTAGACGTAGCAGCTCTCGGCCAAGTGAATGGAAAATGGGCCTTGTGAGTGTGTGTGTGTGTGTGTGTGTGTGTGTGTGTGTAAATACCTGTGTATGTTGATTTTTTTTTTTTTTTTTGGAGACAGGGTCTGTGCAGTTCAGGCTGGCCTTGAATTCACCACAGAGCCCAGAACTCAAGATGATCCTCCTGCCTCAGCATCCTGTGCACTGGGGTTACAGGAGTATACCACCATGCCTGGCCACGTGTACATATTCCTTTTAAAGATTTATGGAATGTGTTCTGCCTCGGGGATTTAACAGTAGCTAGCTATAGCAGTCGCTAGCTGTAGTAGGTCCCACTGCAGTTTTTATTCAACGTGGGGATTGCAGAGCAACCAGAACACTGAACTCAAATGTGGTTCTGAAAACACACAGGGATTAAAAAAAAAAAAAAAAGACACAGGGAGCAGTGGCCATCATCCCGGTAGGAGCTTCTCCATTTCTGCACGTGGTGACTGTACCTTTCCAAGAATAAACAAGAAGACTTTGTAACTGTCACTTGCTTTCTTTTCCTCTGCACTTCAGTAACAAGTGTTGGCAAACAAGACTTTCTCCTGGCCCCAGCCCACTGGACATCTGCAAGATTGTCCTTCCAGTCGGAACCGTCCCTCTGTCCTGCCTGAGGAGGAGGGCAGTGGGCCAGGCAGAGGACAGAACAGGAGGGGTCCATCCAGGGAATGGGACTACAAGGCCACACTTGTGAAACGTTTTCACTGCTGTTCTAGAGCTTTCACTTCTGATGTGTTCATCATACAGCTGTTTGAAATGTTCAAACTCTTTAAATCTTTTGAAACTCATCATCTTATTGTTTCCATTTTTCACTGTGCTAAGACACATACAGCTACATGTACCAGTTTAAAATAAAGTCTGGTAGCGCTAAGTTGAGGGCTATTTTTGTGTAACGGGCACTCATCTACCTACAGAAAGTTTCACAATGTCCCAAATGAATTTTGCACTGATATCACACCATAAATTTCACCATTCTCCAAATCATCCACGATTCTTCTATGAAGATTATATAAAATCAAAGACATCAAACTTCTGAAATGATATAATCAAGCAGACAATATTTACATTGAGTTTTGTGTGTTCAGTTCAGCTATATTTCTCAACCTACATTCAAACTCGACCCAACACATCCAGGGATTACATTCACCAACTGTGCAGCCTCCTCAAGGTGCTGCTGATGTCCCTGTTCCTCAGGCTGTAGATGAAGGGATTCAGCATCGGGGTGACCATAGTACACATCAATGTGTCCACCATACCCCTCCTGGGAGAATATGACACAGCTGAACCAAGGTACACTTCAATGCTGGTTCCATAAAATAAGCAGACAACTAACACATGAGAACTACAGGTAGAAAAGGCCTTGTATCTCCCACCTGATGAAGGGATTTTGAGAATGGAGGAAACAATTTTATAGTAAGAGAAAAGGATCAATGACATGGGAATAATGCCAAATATGGCTCCAACAAAATATGTGACCATGGTTTTGAATAAGGTATCAGAACATGAAAGGTTAAAGACTTGAGAAGGATGACAGAAGAAATTAGCAATTTCCACATCCCTGAAGCAGGTAAATTGCAAGGCAACTAAATTGTGCATCTGGGAGTCCAAAAGGCTGACAAAAACAGAAAGCAAGAGTAACAAGACACAGAGGTGAGGGTTCATAATGGCTGCATAGTGCAGGGGGTGGCAGATGGCCACAAAGCGGTCATAGGCCATCACCGTCAGCAGCACGTCATCCATACTTGCAAAAAGGATTGAAAGAGACATCTGTGTCAGGCAGCCCTCATAGGAGATGACTCTGCTCTGAGTTGAGATGTTCACAATCATCTTTGGGATCATGGTAGAGGTGAAACAGATGTCAACAACGGCCAGGTTGGAGAGGAAGAAGTACATGGGGGTGTGGAGGTGGGAGTCAGAGCTGACGGCCAGGATGATGAGCAGGTTCCCGAGCACTGTGACCAGGTACATGGACAGGAACAGCCCAAAGAGGACGGGCTGCAGGTCTCGATCCTCTGAGAAGCCCATGAGATGGAATTCTGAGACACATGTGAGATTGAATGTTTTCATAGTGCTTGGCCACCTTTTCAAAAAGAAAATTCAGTAGAATAATGAAACCAATAAATAGTGCAGAAGACTTTACGTACGTTAAGAATGAAATATTCCTAAGCAAAGCCTTCCCACATGAAGTCCATAATCCTCAATAACATAAAGCGATGGTGCTAAATCCAGTCCTCATGAGCTCTTTCATTGTCAGGTTCTTTGCTCCCCAAGTCCTTCTGTGCACTCCTAATTTCCAGACACTGTCGTGGCAGTGTTAGAACATTCAAGTTTAGAACACTATGACTCCAGTAAGATATAGCCAGCTCCTTACAAAAAAAGAATATATGCTCTCTTGGAAGAAAATTACATTACAGCTAAGTATTCATAATCAAAATGTACAGTATCAAGCCAGTCATCTCCCAGAAATTTTTCATCACTTTGGGGACTTTCTTATTTCCATCTTTCAATGATGTAAGAGCTCACATAGATTTTGTTATGTATAAATAATTTAATACATAACTCCTACATTAGTCTAAAATTTATATAAAATAAATAAGTTCAGATGCATGCATATAATCTGATGACATAATAACAAGGAATGCGGCCTTAGTGCATACCGTACCTGTTAATGATTAGAAATAATAAGGGATAAGAAGGACTGGCATTTCGCATTTTAAATTTTATACAGGTTTATTTTAATCACTCCATACAATGTTGCTATGTAAGACAGCTCTTTGCTCTATTTTTTATTCCGTATTCTAGCACCATGGCATTGTTTTATGATGCTAAACCTTTGATGTCCAGTGGGAAACCTGAGAAACCAGGAAAGTCCCAAGGGCCTGGCTGATTTCAAGTCTTTAATTCTTATTGACAGATTTTCCACAGCAGGATTTTTCAGTACATGATTAATATTTCTCTTGTTTTAGCTACTGAAATTTGCACGTTTTTTGGTCAAGCCACACTACCATTTATTTAAGAAAAACGCAAAGTAGAATTACAAGAAATAATGTTATCACATTCGAAAACTCATGTACAAAAGAAGAAGTACATGAAATGCTATAAAACTGTAAATAATGTAATTCCCCCTCATCTGTAAAATGAGTACAACACTCACCTAACTTACATGGTTACTTATGAAATTATTTTTAAAATAATTACATCACTGGTGTATCACTTACTTGTAGATAGATGGATAGATAGATAGGTATTTTTAAATAACCAGACACCTAGACTCAGTCCAATAAATTTAATCACATTCCCACTATTCTGAGTTTTTTTATTCCTTCCTTATATCAGAGCTGAGACTATTATCTTAGAATATTTCTTTGAATTCATAAAATTCTCACTTGATATTAGGTCTCCACATATTAATCTATAAATATTTAATAAGGTTTACATCACAACTAATATTTTTAGAGACCTGAACTGTTACCTATGAAATTTGAATTGTTGATATTTCTTTATAATTCCATTCTCTTGCTGACCTTTCCTTAAAGGAATCTGTTAGGAATTTCATGCATCAATTTTTCTGTTATAGTTTTCAGGTAACAATTGATTTATGAATCCAGAGTTTTCTTAAAACCCTACCTAAAACTTACCTAAAACTTAAGTAAGTTATATACAACCCCAACCTATTTCCCTGAGTGGGCTGCATACACAAGTGGCTTTAAGTTTCCTTTAACTAATGCAAACTATTACAAGGAGAACCTTCACTTAACATCTAAGTTTATTATTGTGCCAGTCTTCAAAATTCTTGTGCCTCTGTAGCAAAAGTGGGAACCTGTGCAAAACACATTAGTGTGAGATACTTCTCTGATGTCTAATAAATATTATATGTAAATTTTTATACATTACCCCTACCGAAAGTCATTCATGGTCACTTACATCATTTTATTCTTGAGAAATCCCTTCAAAATATCCCCACAGTCTGTCCCATCATGATCTCTTTATGAAAAGACTCAAAGAAATTTCATCACCTGACTGGGAAGAGCATTTAGATTTCACTGCAGTGGGGGAGGCTCTTTCTCGGAAAGGGAACTGGGAAATGAACGTTAGTCCTGGGCCGCAGACTGCTGCCGTGTGCAGATGTGTGTGAATCTCTCCTCTCCTCTGTTCTCATACTGCTTGGTGAAAATGAGGAGGATGCCCCTCATCTCCACGTGTGTGGCCATTTGAGGGAGTTTGGATCTGAGTACACAGTCACTGTGAGTTTCCAGTCTTAAAATAAGCATTCTATCATGCAAGTGGGCACATACTGAGAAGCACGGTGCTCTGTGTTCCGGTGTCCCTGGGTCCCGGAATGATGGAAAGCTGCAGCCCTCATCTCAGCCAGAGGCGTACGCTCACCCGCTCACTACCATTTGCTTTCTAACTCATGGATCTCTTTGCCACTGTTTTGGGTAAAAGACGCATCCATTACACAGTCCAACGGGTGACAGGGCCCTTGTGCCGATGAGGCAGACACAAAGCAAAGCTATTTTATCTCTGTTTTCCAATTAAGTTTATTGGCACATTTCAGGTATACAGTATGACGCCATTCATCAGTGGGGATCCGCACCTTTACGTGATATGTCTTCACAGAGCTATTTTATCTCCTCTCTTTACCTGTGGGACAGCCCAGAAAGGAATGGGTTCTGACCGGAGCCCGCCAAGCTTGCTTACGTCATGAGTAAAGACATTTCTCGTGACTCAAGGAGGAATCTACTCAGTGTCTGGCAGGGTTTTAGTTGATGCCTCCTTTGTGCCAAGCAAGGTGTGAGCTGCAGGGAGACAGGTGTGCAGGACAGCACATCACTCCTCTCCAAGTATAGGAGTATAATTATAATGACCTGCTACAGAAACAGAGAAAGAGTAATTTCAGGTCACAGGAGAAAATGGATGTGAAGATGATGCTTATCATTCATGGTAATGAATGCTCTGATGTCAGACATATTTATCTCGTATGGAGCTGAGCCATGCATAGTCTCCTTAGTGATGCTGTTGAGATTATAAATTAACATTAAGTAAAAGGCTATCTTAGAGATATTAAAAACCTGGTCTGCTCTGAGAAATATACATGAGGTTGAAAAGGTTAAACAGTAAATTGTCTGATGCTATCCAGTTTATTAAAATTTTTCTACTCACAGAAAAATTTAAGTAGAGGCTCAGAGGTCTTAAACACAAATGCATGTTTAGTACATTTTAACACATTCCTTAAATGGAAATGAACTCAAGACTTGACACAGCCCCACTTGAGACTGGGTGAAATAATCGCACGTGTGGAGAACGATGTGAGAAATCTGTGCTGAATTATGAAGTACGCAGCTCCGTGATCCGCATCAGTGATCCACACTGCTTTTCCTATGGTGGATACAACTGGTGCCTCCCACTGCTCTGCTCTCAGAACTACCAGGAACCCCAGAAGAAGGCGAGCAAGGGGTGTCTTGCTGGAGGGACAGGGAAGGACGTGGCTGCTTGTGTCATTAACAGGACAACCTGCCAGGATTAGGCGTCCTTGGATGCCCCGTGTCTGTATCTGACAGCCCTATTCAAATGTGGAGATACCTCAAAGAACTAGGAGTAGAGGTTCCATTTGACCCAGCCATCCCACTGCTGAGTATCTTTGCAAAAGAATTAAAAGAATCATACCACAGTTATCTATGCACACCCATATTGATAGCGGCACAGTGTGTACTAACTAAAACTTGGAAACAGCCCGATTGCCCATCAGTTGGAGAATGAATAAAGAAGATGTGCTTTTTCTATAAAATGGAATACTACTCAGCCATAAAGAATGAGAAATTAGAGTCATTCGTAGGAAAATTGGTGTATATTGAGGTCATACTCTTAAGTGAAATAAATAAGCCACACATGTGTAAATACCAAATAGTTTCTCTGGTATGAAAAACTAAAAGTGCAAATAAGATCCAAATGGTATCATGACAATGTGAAATAGGAAGAAAAGGACTAAAGGGGTAGGAGAAGTGGGGAAGGGAGGGGAAAGGTAATAAGGGAAAAGAAAAAAATGTGAGAAAATGAAAAGATGGAAATAAAGTGTTTGTAAATGGGGAGGGGAGGAGGGAGTGAAGGGAGGGCAGGGACAAGGGGAAAAATGAGAACCAAGACCTGTCATGGAGAGGTACAAGATCCCAATGATGAATGTAACTGTGCTGTATACCTAAAATGTACCAATAAACTCAATGAGAAAAAAAAGAAAAGAAAAGAAAAGAAAAGTGGCTTAACATTTTCCTACCTAAGAGCCCACGCAGATCTCTTTAAAATAGCAGGCTCTTCTATCTACTATAAGGAATAACGATGTTGGCACTTATCACTAGGGGAAGAGAAAATCCATGAAAGCAAACAGGCACCGTTGAACTCATTGCTTACTGCCTGGAGTACAGGAAGCCCTCAGAAGCAGTTCCTGATGCTGTGCTCACTGTCCTCCTCCTCTACATACTTACCGTCGCCTTCACCAGCCTTTCTCAGTACTTAGGAGACACTGCAAAAGAGCACGCGTTTTGCTGCCATGAGTGAGACACCAGTAAGAAATAGAAACAAGGTGTACAGAAGCAGATGTTGAAATAATTATTCTGTTTTCCCATTCATACCAAAAACATACGACTTCCATTCCTCATAATAAATAGTTTTCATAACCGCACCTTCCCATTTGGCTACCCAAACTATCACGTTTGCCCTTAGGGTGAGGAAACCATAGTTCAGGATCCTTTCTATATCCATGAGGTGCCTCTGCACTTACTTTATGACACTGTTTCTCTGCTGGGTCATAGTCAAGGGGAGCAGATCCAAAGGGCCTCTTACGTCTGCTGTCGGTTGAAGCCTCAGACTCTGTCCTCGGGACTGAGATGAATGCAAAGCCAGATAGGAGCTTGCTGACACCGACGACCACGGAGCCTGGGACACAGGTGTGAAGGTCCCTGGACTGAAGGTCTGGGGGTGGAAACTGAATATTGGCAACTCTAAGACTTTGGAGGTTCGATGCACAGAGCTTATAATTAGTCAACTGGTCCATGCCACCCCAGTCTCTAAGGACTTAACACTAAAGGAAGAAAGATTTTTTTAAAAGGAAAATA